TACTGTATAGCTTTTTGTGCTTTGTGTATATTCCGATTTCAGCGGGGGCAGGGTGTGTGGGGAAAGGTTTAGGCTGTAATTGAATTGGGGATGTGTATTCTTCACACCTGAAACCTTATTTTCTCTGAAAGCATTTTTTTCCCTTTTTAGCTGGTCATTTGCTCCCTACGTGAATTCTCGTTACTGACTGAGAGAGGTTTAGAGAGCTTTACAAGTCATGACTTTCTCATCCAATCAAAGGTTTGATGTTTTTTTTTTTTATTTTGAAAATGTTGACATGCAACTGTGAAGTAGAGTTAACAGCTTCAGATTTAAAAGGATATTAATAATATCTTCCATGCCGCATTAACATTAGAATGTTCTTATCAGTGTAAAAAGAGGCGATACACAACGTGTCTCCTCTATAAATCTTTAGTTTACATAGAAATTCCTCCAGAGCTATACAACATTGTCCAACAATACTCTTCTTGTGTCTTATTTCTAGTTTAGCAGGATTTACGTGATAAGCACATTGCTTAATGGGGATGACATTACCCACGTCTATATCACTGTACAACATAGGTTTGAAACCGCGTGTCTGATAATAAAACAAAGTGCATTCCAGTACATACAGTTACTGCATGATTTCTTTATCCGTTTCAGCTAAATGAGGGGAATTAAATGAGTCAGAATCATGGAGTGCCAATTGTAAAAATAACCCTTCTTCCCTCCTTTGTTTGACTTTAAGAATTTCACGAAGAAATCCTTAATCACAATACCATTACTTAATTTATCCAGATACACAAATTCACGCCAGAGCCAACAACAAGCTATAATAGTGGACTATTTTTATGTATTCACTATATAAGAAACAAACCGAAAGTAATACTCTGATTGCGCTTTGAAACATTGGGTGCAGTGCTTTGTCCATTACCACTACAAGGACAATAAAAGTTTTTTAAAAAGAAACAGATGCCAAATTATTCCCATAATGTCCACCTGTGATATTTTAGCTGCTTAGTTACACAATTCCTTATTCATATAACTATCAAGTAATGTTAAATCACTGCAACATTTATCTTTCTACAATAGTGGCAAGTGGTGTTCTTAGTATGTATTCTTAGAAAAAGATAAAACATTATAACTTTTTATGACATTATTAAGCTTACACTATAAGCTTAATAATGTTAGAACAAGCATGTTAAAGACTTTGATGTATAAAATACTTATAAATAATTACATTATTTATGATGAAGGTGGAAGGTTTTGTACTTTTGTCCAACTGAGCAATCTTGCTTTTATAAAATATACCAACTTTTTAATCTTAAATAATTAACATGCTGTAATACACAGTTTAACATTATTAAGTCTAAAGAGTGTACAACTTAAATTCTTAATTAGAAAAAGATTGTCCCTCTGCAGTGACCAAGATTTGAAACCAGGCTTTTTCTGGCGACAGCTCAAATGCTGTACATGAAATGTTAAGCTTTATTAGCTCCACCTGGTGGTTTTACAAGGTGCTTCCTGGCGCTATTACCTTAATTCAATTAAAATGTGGTATAAGGTGGTATGGTGTGCCTCGCCTACTCTGTTTTAATGCAGCGTACTCCATGCTTTTGAATGGCTGGATCTGTATCTAACCTTGAGTGGTAAATGTAATCCTACCCTGTAAAAGGCAAAAAATATGCTCATTTAATATGCCTTTTCAGCAGCATTGTTGCCAAAACCTAAATAATGCCGAATTAAGAGGTTAAGAGCAGATGCATTTAAAATGCTGAAATACTACTAGTGGGAATGTTTCTTCAAGTTGGAGACATTTGGCTACCTTTTTAAGCACTTTATTAGCAGGTCCGGTTGTTGAGATTAGTTCTTGAAGTGCCCGAGCTAGGGTTAGGGTTTGACAACACCTAGATATTTTGTGATGCATTTGAAATGCAGGAAAAGTGTTGGTTTATTGTAATCTTAAAAATAAAATTTTGCCCAATTTTGTTGCTTTTTGTGAGCCCCACTCATGTCTATTAAACATGTTAACAATAAAAATTTATTTCTACATGCTGAATCCTCTTATTTTTGTGTTTGAAAAAAATAAATGGAAATTTATTATCCAAACTCAATGAAGAATTTATATTTACATTTTATACTGAAGTAATATTGTCTAATATTTTATTTCTACAACCCAGAGAAAAAAGTGTTTTTTGTATACTAATTGTATACTAATTTTAACTTCATCCCCAGTCCTGTTCACCTAAATCAATTAAAAGTTACAAAATAAAATCACATAACTTTGGGTAATTCAAAAAAATGTCATGATATAAAAAAATATTCTTTCTTTGAAGTTATTGTACGGAATGTTCCAGGTCATAATTGTCTTTTCATGCAATTAGGCATCATTAATTAAAAATGATACACTTAAGAACAATTTTATATGAATGATTTCCAATTCTAAAAATTGCAGTCCACTAAAACATACAGTAAGCTTAACTTTAAAATTCAAGGTTAAAGCAGTAACTTTATGCAGTTTATATAAAAGTTAAATTCATGGGTAAAATGAAAATTCTCAAATTCTGAAAGTCTGGAAATCACATGGTCTCAGCTCACGGATGTTAGAAGAAAGAATATGCTCCAATGCTAAAACATATTTTAATTCTTTATTTCTGCCAATGGAGTGACATTTCAACGACTGAGTCATGTAGCTTACTGTTTGTTGAATAATGCTGTTAGAATTTAGTTTCATAACTTGGAGGTCAGAAATCTACTGTATTTGGATGCCTTTCACATTTTACAGCCTACATTCTGTTTGATTTTTTTTTTCCTTAGTAAAATTCCAATGAATAACCCACAGATACAAAGTTTTCTAGATGCATATTTCCTAATTCTGATAAACCTAAAAATCTAGCTAAATATTTTTAATGCAGTACCATTATGATACAATTCTCATTTGTGCACAATTTTGTGCCTTACTTTGGGGAAATTCTGCCCACAGCTGGTACAGTATGTGGGTCAAACCTGGAATCAAATTTTGCTTTTCCACACCGCAAATCTGATCTGTTTACAAAAAACATCAATATGAGCACAAGAACAAAAAGGAAAAATACTTCGACATTGATAGTTTAGCTTTTTTTAAAAGATAATTCAAAGAAATGGCCTTTGGATAAAAAACAGAAAATTTTTCCTGTCTGAATTCTTCCTTTTAGGTCTGTGCGCAAATTCTAAGGCAACATTCTTGAAATTATGAAAGATTATGAAATTATGAAAAGACTTTAAAAGCATTTTCTTAAAATTTAGCATAAGAGACATGGAAGACAAGGAGCAGACATGATGCAAACGCAACAGTGTCGATGAGAATATGTTTGCAGAAAGGTTGAAATGAAAGCATGAAAGTTACTCACCTTTGAGGAACTAGTAAAGTCAGTAAATCTTTGGCCAAGATTACAGTCCAATTTTCTCCACATTGTGCTTTGTGTTCAAAGTGCAATTCGTTTGAAATCACACTTGTTCTGGGTCTAAGCACTGAATGTAGTTTCAAAAAACATCAGATGCGTAAAATGTTAATATTCCCAGTCATTTCTTTGGGGAACAGAGAATACTCCTGTTTACATTTGTTACCCATGCTAGATGATGTGCTGTTTTCCACATTCCTTCACCTAACAGTTTGGACCTGGGGTGCTGTCTGTGTGGAGATGTACAGTACAGTATGTTCTCACTAGTTTCCTGTGGGTTTTATCCAGGTGCTCCAGCTTCCTCCCAACAGTTCGAAAACATACATTGTAGGTTAAATGGCATCTAGGAAAATTGTTTCCTAAGTTGTGAGTGTGTGCATGTGTGTGTCTGCCCTGAGATGGACAGGTGTCCAATCCAGGGTGTACCCTGCCTTGTTCCTGTTTGCTTGCCAAGAAAGTCTCTGGCTCTCCTGCAAACCTGAATTAGAGGAAACTGTTAGAAAAGGGGTGGATACATATGAAATTACTGATGGCTGAGTGAACTTGGCTGTTGTCATTCATCCTAAACCATCTTAATGAACTTATTTATTTATAACCTCTATATATTATGTAAATTTCCACTGTTAATATCCATGGTGCTATTTGGGGGACAGTGAAGGAATAGGGCACTGTTGCTGATGCAGTCAAAGCTTTTTTACAAGTGTGTTTCATTGTAGCTGTTTGGCTGTATATCAAAGGACCTTAGTTCAGAATTTGGAGGAGAGTACTCCTAAGGAGGATGGTTAAAGGATGTTAATACAGAGAGGGGAGTGATTTTCAATTTTGTTGTGTTTTGGGGAAAAATAAAAAAATGTTCACAAAAAAGGAATAGATGGTTAAAAAAACTTGTTTCAAATTAACTTAAAACAAACCATTTAGCCACAATTGTTTTTAAATTAAACTATCTGAAGCATTTATTTATTTTTACTGGGAGTTCTACAAAGCAAAATTTAGGTTTAGTTCTGTGAGGAAACAGACCTGAGGAACAGGTCTATTTAAGAGCTCAGTTGTTAAGATGAAGTGTGTTCACTGCATTATTGTTAAACACGACTTTATTGATAAATTGTATAAACCTCATTCCATACCAAAACTTTGATATGATACTGATTAATTTTAAAATGTCTTCAATGATGAGCTGTATTTTTTTCAATGATCACATAAAAACCAAACCCTTTGAATTTGTGAACTTGAGCTCTTTATGCTCTCCTGCTGAATATGTTCAACCAGGTATGAAACAGGAAAGACAGACGTTTAGTTACCAGGCTTCTACTGCTGTCATTTTTGACAACTGCACTGGGTGTTCCAGATCTGTGCACATTTTTACTCATGGACCAGAGACTTCTTACTTTTATTAATTTTATAGTGTGTAGGCCTACTTCCAGCTATGATAAAGTGTTTGAGTGTTTAGTGTGCTGTGCTTGCGTGTTACCACATGCAGTATCAGCATGTCATAACATACAATGTATACAGTAATACATTATTTGTACATGTATATCCTGATACTGTAAAAAACTTATGAGGCATACAAAAGTACAAAACTAATTTGTGGTGCAAAGGGGAGCGGAAACTCCATTTTTAATAAATAATACATTACAAGACTGGAAAAAAAGGAAAGCAAAGTTGCAACTGTCTGATTTAAGGATTTTGAGCTTCGTCCTCCACAGCTGCAGACTGTTTCTCTCCTGGAAGAAATAACACAATCATCACTTTACACACTGATGTTTGAAGCACCAAACTGGAACATCGTCAAAATAACATGAAATCAAAAGATGTGAAAAACAATCTTTTAATATTCTGATAAAATTAAGTATCTGATTTCTTAGTATTTTTAAGGAAGCAGCACGTGAAAAAGACCTTACTAGATGTATGATCTTAGTAGATGACTTTCAAACGTGAGTGAAGAGACGTCAATGCAAAGAGTAAGGCATTTTGTCACATACTGTATGGTATAAGCTTATTCAAATACAAAATGCAATTTCAATAATTAAATAGACTACTCAAATACCATCCAGGCATACTGTGAGTGGACATAAAAACGTTTTTTTTTAAATAAGATGAGTAGTAGAGCCCGTCTTTATTAACCTGTTATTAAAATAATGCTTTAAATCATTTTGTAGTGCTCAGTGCTATTAACAAATAACTTTGAAGAATTCCATAATATGATTTGATTCATTCTGAATAATAAGAAGGAAAACAAAATAAGAATACATGTGAGCTCAGTGCACACATCCTGTTCATGTTTTTACTGTTTCTTTTAAGCAAATGAAATTGTGCCCATAGCCTTAGTGTTTTAAGCTGTCAACACAAACTGTTAAACCTCTAATGGTGGAAAGAGCTATTGAAATCTTCTTCTAAAGCAAGGAGCCCGTGCTGCCAGGTAAAACCTGGTCACTAAAAGGGAATTACCATTCCATGGGAGCCTGTCAGTCTTATGATTCCAGCCGCCGGTACTGGGAACTGAAGAGCCAGCTTCCACTGGAGCTGGCTGAGATTCAGAGTCCTGATTTAAGGAGTTTTGGGAAGAGTTATTGGACGAGTTTGTATTGTTCAGTTCATTGGAGGACTTCAGCTCAGACCCGGATTCACTTCCACTTTCAAAACTTGTCCGTGTTAATCTGACTTCTGTGATTTCTGTGACTTCGCTTCTTTTGTCCTTTTGCTTGTGGTCCTTGCAGGAATATTCCCCAGCTTTTCTTTCCCTTTCTTCTACAATTAAAAGGAAGGGGAGAGAATGTAAAATTATTTAATAAAACATACCCGTCATTTGCTAGCAAAGATAAAGCCCTTCAAAGTACATGAGAGCGAAAAATAAGGGATTATTGTGCATTAAAGGGTGAGAGTGAAACCAGAATTCCTTTTGCCACATCTGAGCTAACCAATGTAAAACAATTACCAAAGGTGTGAGTGTTTCAGCTCCTCCAATCCATGATATCTCTTCAATAATATAAATGTGAAGCATGGACCCTGACAAATGGGACCCTCTCATGTGAACTGAAGTCATAAGACCACTGCTCTCGTCTTTTCATGGCACAGAACCTATATACTGTATATATATTTAACTGTCTACGCATACAAATCCTTAGTGAAAACAATGAAAGAAAGGACTTATGTGACCAATGAAGTCTTTTTGTTTTTCTTTGTGACTGTGACTGGTTGTGATTGTAAAGGATCAGCAACTTGAAACAAAGAATCTGCCATACAGATGAATAATTTGATGCACCTGTATCAGAACCTTGTGTAGAAAGATCCTTTTAAAGGTGTTACTCTGGCAACCCTAAAACTTTGACAGTCAAGGTACTGTACATGTGCTATAATCCCTAGTCATATGCAACAGATATCCTTAAACAATCTTTTGTTGAATACCTTGTACTGCAAGCTCTTTCCATTTCTCCTTGTTCTGTTGAATTACATCTGCCAGATTGTGTCGGAAATGTTTTAAGTCAGTTTTGGCCAGGGAGTAGTCGGTAGAAGACCCTTGATCAGCTGCGCTGTGTCTCTGTACAGACTCCACAACTGTCCCTGATCCTCCACTGGTTAAACTGAAAGTAGATACGTGAAAATATGTGGATATTACTACAGGTAGCTAGAGATCTTGAATAATAATTATAATATTTAACAATAAAAATGATTAATACTCTTTTTACTGTACATATAGCATATGGAAATATGTAATACATTTAGTCTGTCTCAGTAGTGGTTTTGAGTTCAACTTAGAAAGCGATGGAAATTGAGTTGAATTGAATTAAACCTTAATTCAGTAATTTGCAAAATCGTCTCATAAAATTAACACAAAATATTGCTCGAGAAATATTCCTCTTGAGTCACCAAATTCATACTACATAAATGTGTTAAATAAAATAAACTGGTGCTTTGGCAGTATTTATAAATGATAAAGCCATCATGGTGTACAGTACTGTAGACAATATATATAGTATCTCCTTATTTAAGAAACTGTCTTATTTTCCAGATGGCAAATTTATGGTTTGGTTATAATAGGTTTACAGAGAAATTGTTCACTGTCACTCAAAACTGTTTTTGCAAGTTATGATTAAAATATAATTAAGTACTTGCCTGGATCTTCTTACACCAGAACTCCCTGGCTTTAAAGCTTCCTCTATAAGAGGAGTTATAATCTTCTCTGTTGCATCAATTAAAACAGAGAATGTTGGTTCCACAATGTAATCAATGAACCCTGTGCAAAAGAACACAATTTGCACATAAGTACACTAGGAAAATACTCGGTATTTGCTGGTGAGTGCTGCAAGAAAAAAGAAAAATGCCTATTTTTCTTTTTCTGCTGACCTTAAGATGCAATCACCTCATGAACAGCATGTACTCCCTACAAAATAGCTTCTCAGTGCTCTTTATCACTGTAAAACATTCTTATCTGTAAGTGTTTCGGCTCTACAGATAGACAAGGCAATACATACAGTAGCCTAACCCAGCCAGACACAGGATACAAGGTAGGACTACATCCTTCCCGGAATGAGACACCAGCCCATTGAAGGAACACACACAGGGACAGCCCCAGCTGCCAGCTGAATGCTCGAAGAGCTGTGAGGCAATGGCACTAACCTACATGCCTCCACACTGCTGAAAAGAGTACTAAGCCTTTCATATATGTAATTTGTTAAATAAATATTCACTTGGCTATTAAAATTAATCACATTGGATCGGAACTCTCGGTCCTTAACTCTTAAAAATATAAGGGCATTCATATGTCCAAATTCACTATATACAGTATGTACTGTAGTGAGTGCGGAAGTATGAATTTAATAACACTGTGAAGTTATTTTTTTTTATTGATGAAAGCCATCCATCCATTTGTTTTTGAACCTCTTTATCCAGTGTGGTGTCATGGGAGAAGTACCCTAACCTAGCAAGCAGTGGGCACAAGGCATGATGCACCTTGGAGGGGACACCAATCCATCTCGGGACACACACAAACACAATTTGTCACAGAAGCCACTTAACCAGTATGTATTTGGAATATGGGAAGAAACTGGAGCAGCAAGAAACCCAGACAAAAACAGGGAGAACATATGAACTCCATACAGATAGTCCTGGAACCCTAGGCCCCAGTGCTGTGAAGCAGTAATACTAACTACTGTGCCACCATGCCATCCTATTATTGAATGAATATAATTGAAACCATTCTGATAAACCATAGCATATGCTCCATCTCACTGGGCCAGATGAGGGCACAACAGGAGTTTTTTTTTTGCTGTCTGAGCCTACCTCCTTGTGGGGAATTGGAAGTCGTATCTTTATTAGTAATTATTTTTTGGTTTTATTTCCAACAACACAACTAAATACAGGAAGGCTTAAAACAAGATCTAATGAAACAGTGACAATTTAATACAATATTAGCTTGACACAACCTATCTGTGACTGAGCGATCATGGTGGCCTTCCGATCACACAGTGGGGAGAATGGCAGCCCAAGGTCAGCCTCTTTATCACCCTAAAAAAATATAACTCAGTTAATGAGGAAGAACCTGTAAGCTTGATTATTCTGAGGAAAAGAACTTGTAATATGATATTTAAATGCTGCTGAATGCACATGGAGACTCACGTTTTATGGTAAAGACTAAGAAAGTTGTTCTTTTACCTTCAATTAACACAAATATATCTACAATATATTCATTTGACTCATTTTATGTTTATTTATATAGTATCATCAACTGCAGGTAATTACAGTACAGGGTGATTATAAGGCATGCTAGTCTGTTCAGAAATTGTGTGAACAACAGACCGAGATCTAAGAAAGATGGAATACAAAAAAAAGTAAAAATACAGAGAATATGTTCTCATGGGCAAACGCAGGGCACAATAGATTGCAGTGCATTGGCTATTGTCCAGGTGATTTAAGACATTGGAAATTCATTGCATGCCCATGGTGGAGAGCAAAGCATCATGGTAGTGCCTTCTGTGTGTATTCTGTCACAGTCCATGGGAATAGCACCAAATGTCAGTGCTCTACAGCCATCTGAACCAACCTAGTTTAAAAGCACCATGTATTTTGTAACATTAATGCATATATATTCTCAATGACAAACTGTTTAACTCAATGACAAAATATTGCATTTAGCCACTGCTGTAAATATTTTGATTAACAGAAATGTCCTGATTACAATTTTAGGATAGTTTAGGTAAATTATATTCCACAGAGCAATTATGTCAGAGCCATATACTGTAACAGTGGTGCTTCACAAGCCAGAATTCTGAAAAGTTATTCCTTTATTTTTTTTCTTGCAAAGGCCTATAACAAAGTTGTATTAAAAATTTGAGCTACACATTGAGTACATTTTAGTAAGGTTTTCTAATCTTGATTAGAAAAAAAAGTAATTGCTTTTTTCCTTAGTTGTGCTAACATATTTGTGGTTAGTAATAAGGTAGATAGAAGGTTAGTGTATGTCTTATTGTGTATAAGATGTATACCCAGTAAGTATAACATCAAGATGAATTGCAACTGACGTTTATGTTATCTGACAGCAGTGTTACCATGCTGTAGGATGACTTCATCGGATTTCTGAAACTAGGCAAAACTGGAACAGGCAAGTAATAAGAATGAAGACCTCAGGGGAAAATCAAAATGCTGAAGTTATTGTTGTTGGTGGACCAGTAGATGGCACTATTTCATCTGGACCACAATTTAAAGACACCAATAACCCAGTATGGTGATGGGACAGGGTGCTGTAGCAGCTGTTGTACTTGAATGAAATAGTGTAAACCAATGTCCAGATAATTAAAAATCCCTTTGTAAGAGTAGGGTGTTTTTAAGAGGGCAGGGAATTTTTAAGAGTGTATACTCTTGTAACACTTTGAGTGGGAAATAATGTGTTCATTCATGGAACTGAAATAATCTGTTTGCTTGACAAAGGCAGGTACCAGAATGTATGTTTATCAGGTGTTATTAACTTGACGTCCTCAACCGAGTAATTTAAATGTTTTGATAGATCTGATAACTGGAACAGGAAAAAAAATCTTTGCAAGTGATATGGTTTACCCTTATGTAAAATATAGTAAAACACAAATTGTTATTCAGTAAGTTAGTTCTATAATAAATTACTAATCGTTTGCACTTTTTAAAGCCGATAAAGTACCTGTCTAAAAAATTCTTCCATCAGAGCCTTTGTCCATCGGTAATGGAGTTTCCAAGACTTTGCAGGGTGGCTGATATCTGCTGCATGCAGCATTAGGGACATGGCTTTACCTTTGTCTATCCTATGACAATCCAAAGACAACACTGGGTTAGTAATGAACGGGAGCTTTCAGATTTTATGCAGATAAAAAGTACGGGTATACTCACCCCTCAGGTTGCTGAAGGACATTTTTCATGGTTTTAATCTGCTGGAAATGGCAAGACATGTCTGTACACAAAACCATTTCAATTACCAAGGTACGGAGCTCCCTGCATATTCAAACATGAAACAAAAAATTAAAAAAACTAAAACATTTTTGAATATTTTTTAAATCATTAAAAGGTGTTCAACACTGCTCCAACTGGGCACATTTTGCTGAAATTGGTACGTGATGTAGAACAACAAAAATGTCTGCCAATTCCAACCCAGATATGGACACACGTATATATGATTACGGTTCAGTTTTAGAGGATAATCATATGACAGCGGTCTAGGCTGCATTTTTACTGCAATCTTTGAATTCACACTATAATATCTAGTTTTGTGGGTGGTATGGTGGTTGTCACGCCCGACATCCCTCCCTAGAGGGCGCTCCACTGCTCCCATTATTGTTTGTGTGATTAAGCTCTCCAGGTGTACCCTTTTATTGTTATTATTTAAAGACCAGCTCCTCCAGTCCTCGGGCCTCATCATTAGGGTAAGATGTCGCGAGGCCCGCCTAGCACCAGGAAACCCTACGTCCGTCTCCTGAGGACATAGGCCTCATCCCCGACACCTCCCGCTTCCTGAGCCCGGGGTCTGGAGGATCTCGCCCCGTCACCCTTGGACCTCCATGTTTTGTTTGTCCGTGTGCTCCCCCCTCCTGGGGATTTTAACTTTGTCGCGTCCCAGGATGGATTTCTAGTTGATGGACTCTCGGACTGTGCTTTGACCTGCTTTTGGACCCGTTTGGATTTGGATGCCGTTTTGTCTTCCCCGTACACTGTCTCACGGACTGTCACTATTATTTTGTGCACTATTAAACCCCTGTGTGTTCCTTTTTACCACGCCTCCTGTCTTCTCCAGCTCTTACCGCATCGCATAGGGTCTTCTACAAGATCTGACACGGATTTCAGTCCGTGTTCGTGACAGTGGTGTAGTGGTCAGCATTGCTGCCTTGCAGTGCTGGGGCCCTGGGCTCAATTTTGGACCTGGGGTGCTCTCTGAGTGAAGTTTTGCGTATTCTCCCTGTGTTTGCATGTTGTAGGTTGCTTGTAGGTAAACTGGATTATGGGAAAATTGGCCCTGGTGTGACTGTGCTCTAATGGATTGGTGTCCTCCCCCAAGGTGTACACTGCCCTGTGACTGTTGTTTGCTGAGATGGGATCTGGCTCTCCTGTGACCATGAATTGGATGAAGTGTTTAGGAAATGGATGGAATGTTTTGTTAAAACACTTTTTCTATGATCTCTGGAGTAGCAAAGAAGAAGTTAGCACTGTGTAAGAATGGGGCTGAATACTTCTGCAATTCAGAAACATCTATTTTTCTTTACAAATCAAATTTATTTAAACATTACCAGTTTATTTTTGAAGTGGAGTTGTAAAATGTCTAAATATGAAGTCCTATTTGCAGGTGCCATGACTGAAAGCTCAGACAGTACCAAAATGTGGAACATTTGTTGGGGGGAGGTGGGTTGAATACTTTTGGAAGACACTGTATAATACTGAACATAATACTGATAATACAACTTATTTCACTATACAAACACCTTAGGAGACTTGTTCTAACAGGTGACACTCTGTGGCATAATACAGTAAATAACAGTACATTAACCATTAACCATTCTTTGGTCAAATGCAAGTCAGTGCACAAGAGAGTGAAGATCATACTCATTATTCAGCTGTTTTTAGTAGCACCTGGTAATGTTAGCCATTGTTAAAATATTTTAAGTGAAAAATTAGACCAAATGGATTTGTATTCTGGTAGCATGACATTCTGAACTTGGAATCAAAAGCTGAGAACATCTTACCGCCAATCATCTTTTGACAGGTTTACCAGGATGTTCATTTCATCCTCTTGCATAAGTCTGTATGCTGCACTTACATGATGATTTTCAAGGACTGACCGGTCATTGTATAAAATAGCCACTTCCGACCTGCAAAAACAAGAGCATTTTAGAAAAAGTAGTACTTTAAAAATATAGTTATATAATGTTAATCATTTGGGTGTTTCCATTGTATATTCTTTTTTAAAATGGCAACTACACAAAAAATGAAAAAGGACAGCTCTGTCACATAGTTTTCTACGCAGTCTCTCAATAAAACTCTCTTATCAGTTATGAAATCTAAAATCTAATAAAGGCTCTGTCTTTGATAAAACTGGCAATTGTAAATATGCAATGTAAATATTAAATGCAATGTGATACACGAGGAATAAATAATGGTCAAAATGAACTGCCTCTTTGTTCATATTATATAAGAGTATATAATTATCATTTGTGCACAATGGTAAGAAATACTAGCACTTTTTAAGTCACAGCCTTACACCTATTTTCAAGCATAACTTGTAACTCCAACCGTATAGCGATGTACTTTCTATACATGAATGCATGAGATTTAGTATTCCCTTGGTAAATAATTCTTTAGGGTGATGTTATAGCCATAACAGCACTTGTTTATTTCTTCATTACCACTGAATCCAAAACATTGTCATTATGACTTTCACCCAACATGTTTGGAATTTAACTTCTTTTTGTTGAATTCAGATGGATTCATTCATTAGTTTGTAATTTGCTGTCTGGTTCATAGTGCCAGGTGAACTTTAATATATCACCTTCGGTGTGAGATCTTATGTATCAATCAGTGCTCATCTTGAGACTGTTTGCTGATAGTCTTCATTATGCATTTGTGATACTCATTTGTTGTTATTCCTGTTTTGTACAGTTGACTACGTTTGAACTTTTGCAATTGCCTACAATGATGAAGCTGTGTTAAGGCAGCAATCTGACTTTATGCAAAATAAATTGAATTTCATAAAGAAAGCTATAGAAATAATAAGATAAAAAGTATTTTGTTTTTAAATAAATGCTGCTTTATGCTATTTATGAAAAGGATCTGCAATATTGTAGCAAAGGCTCTGCTGTATTCACACGTCAGTGAAGCTTAAGACCTTATTCAAAAATGACTGTACAGACTTTGGTTATATTCTTTGTATCAAACCAGGAACAAACAAACACTATATCCAACTGAACAACTGGCAGGAAGAAGTCTCTACAATGACAAAAATATATTTTTAGTTTTATATGGAATTAATCTCATTCATGCTCCTTTTCGGGTTTCATACTGATGCGGCCCTCCAGTCTAACTTCTACATAGACAAATACATACAGTATCATGTACGTGTACATTTGTAAGCACAACTATAAGCACTGTTTTCTAATACTGAAAGAGGCAACTGCAGTCAAGGCCTCAGAGACTGCCAGACCTTAATGTGGAACTTGCTTCAAAAGAATGGAGAGCTTTATCATCAGAGAGAATTTCCCTGACTCCCTGTCTGCTAAAAACTGTCTGGCAAACCAAGATGAAGACTCTGAACTGGAACAGTTTTGCAGGCATTAGTTTTAAATGTGCATTTGTGTTATACAACTGAGGTAGAAAAATATTAGTCACCCTCTGGTGCAAAAATAATGTGCATTGATTTTTTACAAAGCCCTTCAGATGATCTTCTGGTATAATGCTTGATTACATGCTGTGTACTTGTAAGGAGATCTGACACCTGCTTGTGAATACTCAGCAGCTTCAGTTAAACAGTGATATATCAATAAAACAGGCAATTGATTTACCTGGTTTGAATATGGAAGTTGTTAGTGGTCCCAGTGTGTTCGAAATCATGAATGGCAGCAGCAAAAACCATGGCTAAAATTTCCAGTTCTGTGAGCCAGTGCTGTTGGAAGAGAAAATCAAGCAATTTCTGTCTTCAACCTTCAGCTGAAGTGTGCCATATGATTCTCTGTTCATTATCTACCAAAATAAGGCAATATAATTCAAGAAAGCTACCTCAAATATTAACATAATAATGACAAAAAAAAACTGCTTTGTGGTATAATTATCTATATATTAAAAAGGACACTTAAATACTCAGAGCTGGCATTAGACTGAGGATGCTAAAAGAATGCAACTGTAACCAGGGCCAGCTTTGATGGACACCCAGCAGCTGAAGTTAGAGCCAACCCCCATAAAAAAAGTATGAAAACCTCCCACCTAAAAAAAAAGGGTCCTCACTAGCAAAAAAAATTAATATAACCTGGGCTATGGTGTTAATTGTTTTACTTCTTTAAATTGCACATCAATTTGGAATAAAATAAGTAAGAGATGTTGCAGGAGTGAAAAGATAAAGCATTGACCAAGCTACATCTCTTTTAAACCAAAGTGACCCAATCTTACTACTTAACAGATATAATTTCTTAAATTGGCTATCTAAAATGAGAAACATTAAAATTTACAGCAATGTTTTTATTTCTGTAGGTTTTTTTTATAATTACAAAGCTAATATTTACTCCTATTAGGGATCTATATCAGCTTTTCTGGCATATTTTTTTGATAAGCAAGAGATCTTTCCAAGACAAAAACGAACCTGCATTTTTTAACTGGAGAATAATGAGTACGAATTTATTTGGTACATACTGCCATCTAGCGGTACATTCCTGAATTTTACCTGCTGTAAAGACTTACCATTAGGCCAGTGTGAAGCATTAAATAATGTGCTGTCTGGGTGACATCAGCTGCGTGAATTAGATTGTGGTAAGGGTTTTTGTACTTGCTGTAGCCAACTTCCAGCGCTTCAACAAAAGAAACAAGTGAAGAGACTGGTATCTAAAACAAAACAATAAATAAAAGTTCAACTAAGAGCACATCCCAGCTGCATTTCGTAAATTACCATTAAATGACTGACTGCATTATCAGAGTAATGGTAAAATTATATAAAATCGATTGTGTTTCCTGACAGAAAAACACACAAAAGATCTGGAGTGCCTGTTAAGACGTTTTGCATGTTAATGAGCTTGCCACCCACATCTAATCATCTTCACAATAAATTCATATACTGTACATTCTGTAGTATTATTCTACAGTATGCTCAGATAGTAAAGACATGAGCACATATAAATGGCATTATGAGTCAAAATACTGAATTCAAAGCAATAGTAAGCTCCTGTTATTGGAACCTGCATTAAACTGTAGATTTTTATAAATATATAAGTGTACTATTTTTTTCTTATTAGGCAGTATCAATTGAAGAACAATAGAAAAACAATGACTTTATAAAAAGCCAGCATAGCAAATTTAATATTGATAAATAAAAGAATCCATCTGACCCTGAAGCGATTGATAAGGTCATATCTTGTGAGCAGTTCATACACCAGGAACTTTAAAGCATGTTCTCCACTGGCTTCATGGAGAGCAAAGACATCAAAGGACCATTTGTCAACATCCTGTGGTAAACCGAAGTTCATTAGTTATTCAAAGGAATTGCAAACTAATAGTCTACAGTACCTATGCTATACAAACATGGTACTAACACATTTACCAGTGCTTTCACCAACCCTAGCCTTGAACTGCCTAATCTTACATAGTCAGTCAAGAGGTTAATCTTGTGTGAAACCAGTTCCTAGTGTCTGCAAAACATTGCTAACTGCATTCCATAGTTTCCATAGTGAATTTATATATATTCAGATCACATTAAATTATAATTTGTGACTGAAGCTACCAATATATTTAAAGTAACATCAATTGTGAGACGTCTAACGTTTTAACAAAGAAACACTGTAAAAACACCTACAATACTGATATATTCTTTTTATCTTAGTTAATTAGTCCTTTATGTGATTTTTTTATTATTTGTTTACTTTTACAAATATGATTCATATTAATATTTATATTAATATACAGTGTACATATAAATATACCTTCAGAGCACCAATTACAGCTGGAGGGTACGTTAGCCCAGCCATGTTAGAAGTCCTTCGATACATTCTGGAATTATAAACATATATGCATATATATGGGTAAAATAATTCAGTAACCTTAGTTAATTAAAATGTGTGGTTGTTAATATTTAGTGTACTCATAACACAAACAAGAGAAAGTCCTACATCTCAGTTTTGGATCCAGTATAAACTTAATATTGTCAATAGGTATGTCACTGCTAAATCTGAATACATACTGTATAACTGAAGTATATGTGAAATTTGAATAGCTATGAAAGTGAATTGATTTGGAAATAGAATGGCATGTTGGGGCAGTGGTTAGCACTGCTGCCTCTCTGTGCGAGCAATTCCAGATCTGGGATGTTATGCATGTTCTTTCTCCTTGTGTTCAAGGGTTTTCCTACGGCTGCTCAAGTTTCCTCCCACAGTCCAAAGACATGTTGGAAGGTTAACTGGCTTCTGTGAGAGTTGGCCCTGGTGCTAGTGTTTGTGTCTGTGTGTGCCCTGCAACGGACCGGCAGGGTGTATGCGGTCTTGTGCCCATTGCTTGCCAGGATAGGCTTCGGCTCCCTTGTAACCCTTTTCTGGATAAACCGTTAAGAAAATGAATGGAAAGATGGACAAACCCACAGAGAAGCAGGTTATTTGGATTATGCAAGAACCAAAAGCTGTGACGATATTAAAGTGATAATATAGCATCCTTTTAATGTCTTTGGTAAATATAACAGCTAGACACAACTCACTTTAGTTCTTTAAAATAGTCACATTTTATATTTAAAAACTTTGTCTAAAGGGTTATAAGATAGCGTAGCTGTTTAACCTACACAAACTGGGCATTGCTTTTGACACATGTACAAGTCTTCAGTAAATATAAAAGATTTATTTATGGTACAGAACATCTAAGTAATCTAGAGATAACTGCTTTTACTCTGTATTATTTCTCATTTGAAGAGATGATTTCTAATCATATCATATTTCTAATTAAATGTTATGATGAAATACTTTTCATCTATATTTTTTCCTTTCAAATATTTATAAATGAATGCAAAATATTTAATACCTGCCTTAAAGCCTTGCATTTTCTATTTAGTTATGTGAAGCCCTATGTTTCTGAATTGGAGAACTTTCACAGCAGTAAATGATTGTGATGCAAGGCTATGGTTGCTATGGAGATAAGAGATGTCATAGATAAGCAGCTCTCATGTTAAGAGTAAAGCTACACTGGGAGATGTACATTATATTTCAGCTCTTCCATACAACGCTTCACTTTGAAATAGCTCACATTTCAGATTAAATATGTATTATTTTCCAATATGTACTGTATGTTTTTGTGTATATTTCATGCGGACATTTTAAATGGCTTTAAAATCATCATCAACAGCACCACATACGAGTTATAAAGTTCACAATAATAGATCGTTTTTACAAAAGATGACTGTAAGAAATATAAACAACTGAAACAGATATTGCTATGCAGTGCAAATATATGGACTAGAAAGTTTAAGATTAATATTAGTCATTTTCTGTTTCAGGATCAGTGTCTTGCATGTCACGTGTATTCAATAGCAACTGTACGATTTTGGCCCACCTCCTAAGCGTGCAAAGTTTGCTCACGTTAATTTATTGCCATGATCAGTATACTCTGTGTGTTGAGACACAGAAGCGGCAAGTTACCTTTCCACAAAAATGCCAGCTTGCACAGCATGGACTATACTGCGAAACCGAGGCTTCTCCTCTGGTCTCCTCCGCACCACTCCCATCTTCCTGGTGAAGGTGGAGGCCAGCCAGTCCCTGACCTCAGAAGGGACCGAGTCTGACTGGATGTCACTGAGCTCATCTTCGGTGTCCAACAACCGTCTGCACAAAAACATCCGCAATGTCACGTATTCACTAAGTAAATGCTTCTTTTAAGACATCCATAGAAGTATATGTGCTGTTTCGCAACAACATTAAACTTCTATAGCTCTATGAAACTAAATTTCCAAAACAAGATCAAAAAGGCTCATAATTAAATTCCTGGATGAACTTTAAAACTATTCACTTTTAACACAACGTTTAGAATTTATGTAATGTTAAAATAGTCATTTTAAGATTTTCAGCAAGTCTGTGGCAATATGGAGCCTCTGATTCCATATTATTCAGGTTGTTCTACTGGCTTTGTAACTGTTTTTTATGAGCAAAAGTAAATTTAATTATGATGGGTGAACAGCAGTGTAAGTGAGATACATTGTAGTGTCACTTGTTTTGCTTTGGAGAAGAATGAGTCATCCAGCCCTCACACAATTAGGACAAAGGCAGCATTTTAAAACTCTTAGCTTTTGTACAGCCTTTACAAGACAGAAAAAAGTATTTAAAACGTATACGACATTTTGCGTGAGGCTGCACATACAACAATTCTGAACCACCCTGAACTAATTTTTGAAACTCCATAAGTTGAAATAAAGTGCATTCTACAATTATTTCAAAATATGATAAGCAGTACACTTCTGATTAGATAATTCTGCTCTGGCCCCATTTTTTTCTGATGAATAGTACCTGTATTCAAGATAAGTTAATACCATTCTTTATTTGAGCATCTTTTTTTGAGATCCTAAAATGCATCTCATAATCTTGCATCTTAGATAAATAGAGTATACAGAGAACCTTTGACTATATAAAACACATATTTAATATGCTTGACTACCAGTAGTTAATTGCTCTGGACTATTTAATCCTTCATTCAATTACTTTATAGTCTTTATTCCAGCTTCCTGCAGCACATAACACTGGTACAAACTATCCACGCAGAACTGTCTGTGGTTATATCACATTTCTGGTGCAAGATTAGTTGTACACCTACTACAGAGGCGGACATTTCTGTTAATTAAAATGTGTCTTCACTAAATACTGCAGGATAGGTAAAATGTTAGCATACAAGCTTTCTGGTGTAATGCTAGCAAGAGAAAGCAGCTAAACACTAACAGCTGTTAACATGCTTTACATTAGGTCATTACAAAATACCTAAAATCTTCAACAAACACCTACGCATTATCACTGAAGAGTACATCAAACACATTTCATATTAACAAATGACAAACAAGTGCAGAGCACTCTGAATCTTAATGTAACTTTAAAAGAAACGTCAGCTATCTCAGTAGAGACCTTGAAAGGTTTTCTCTGAAATACAAAAGATAAGCTAAAGAATAGTCCTTATTTTAAAAGATCAATTTAGAAAAAAATATTGCTTGAGTAATAGCAATTACATTGAGTAAGCAAACATTGAAGCAAAACACCAAAATAAAGGACTGGAAGAAACTGAAAGATGATTTGGCACAACATGCATGCACACATGAATCAACTTCCATACAATGCATTTGCAATACACAAACAAGAATACATTATTACTTTTGAACATGAATATTTAACATACGCTTGCCCTCATATTTACTAGTATCACAAGGAGTTCTTATTTAAAAAAAATCTTTACAGTATCCATTGACATAGAGTAGCACACAGAGTTATACTGTATGTCCATTAAACTCCCTTTAACTCACCTGGTTTCATCAATGTACACAGCTTCTAGAACTGATGCTGCATATTCAATATTTTTTTTGAGGTCCAAGACATTCACCTCACCCTTCTCCAGCTGCTTCACCAGGCATCTTAATCTACAAAAACAAAAGGGGCATATTAGGGTAATTAATACATACTGTATCGTCAATATCTTTTTCAGAAAATAACAAGAAAAATAGATAATTGTGTATGAAAAAACAGGTGGGTAGCTGCATCAGCATGCGTAGGCTGCAAAGGAACAAGTAATAGTTCCAATAATATCCTCATACTCACCTATAAGGCCCTGCATGGCTTGGCACCTCAGTACCTGTCTGAACTATTATCGCCCTACTCCCCACCTCGGAACCTTCGCTCTTCTAATTCTGCTCTCCTAACTGTCCCCCAAGCCCATCAACATTGTATGGGTGACAGGGCCTTCTCCTGTTATGCCCCCAAGCCCTGGAACTCTCTCCCCAAGGATATCAGAGAGTCACCTTCTCTAAACTCCTTCAAATCCAGACTCAAAACCCTCTTCTTCAGAAAAGCCTTTACTTAACTGGTTCCATTCTTCACCCGTTTGCTTTTCTTAGTACCACCATCCACAGTCTCGTCTATATATTGTAATTGTGTTTTATCTATTATTTATTGTTGTTGTCATCCTGTAAAGCGCTGTGAGAAGCCACCTTTAAAGGCGCTATATAAAACAAAGTTTTTTATTATTATTATTATAATAGGTTTATTCCATGCTGAAAAAAAGAAGAAAGAAAACACAACGTTTCGGCCGTGGAGCTGCCTTCTTCACACCTGAAGGCTCCACGTTGTGTTTTCTTTCTTCTTTTTTTCAGCATGGAATAAAGCTATTACTTGTTCCTGAATAAAACACAGCCTTCTGTCTTTTTGATCTTAGCGTTTAAATATTTAAATTTCCCTGTAGGTGGCGCTTTGGCTATCTGTAAATTAATTGCAGTTGATGGAATCTGCCTTAAAAAATTCTAAACCCCTTTTTTCTACCTTTGATAAAACAGTAGTTAACTGTGTACATACAGTACATGTATGCAAGTATACATATACTGTGTGTGATTTTTTTATGTATAGTGGCAGACATTAAAAATACAATATGCTGTACGTTACTGGTTCCAATTCTCAAAGGATACTCTTGCTCAAATAAATAGCTACAGGACACTTAATTTTAGCAATCCCTGGTATGCCTTTAATTTCTTAGTCTCTGTCAGTACTTTCACTTACTCAAATGAGCCTAAAGGGTAAATTTGAACTCACACACAAATCACACAAACTGTGTATGTTGGAGTAATAGGTCTTTGTATATTAATCCTGTTCTCCAAAACATCTGTTATGCCACACTGTCAATCTAAAAAAGCTATCATTTTATAAATGCAAAATATTGCTGCTTGCTGTATTGACCATTTTTTCCCTGTGTTGTCTACAGTCGAGAGCTTTCATTGTTTCCTTGCAGAGGGCTGAAGTGTGTTCTCAGATGCTTCAATGGTATAAGGCACCAGAATATATAAGTACAAGTACCTCTCCTATCCATAGCTGAAGGCATCTTTTCTGACTCAGGAGGCTACACTGAAAGGAACAATTTGTGAGATTGAAAGTGTGGCATTGCAGAAATTACAGACATGTCACTAAAAATGTACTGTAATTGTATCTTCCTATTCATCAGCTGAGCAATTTCACTTATATTTTATTGACAGATAATCAATAACTGTGTTTATAATTTATTGATTAGCATTGCTGTCTTGCAGCCCTTGGACTCTAGGTTCAATTCCTGGTATGCTATCTGCACGGAGTTTGTATGATTTCCCTGTGTATGGGTGGGTTTCCCCTGGGTGGTCCAGTTTCCACCCACAGCACACAGACATTCAGGTAGGTTAATTCGCTTCTGGGAAAACTGGCCCTGGTGTGTGTCTGAATCCGTGTGTGCCCCGTGATGGACTGATGTCCCATCCAGGGTGTACCCTGCCTTGCGCCCTGAGATAGGCTCCAGCTCCCCCGTGACTCTGTATTGAATAAAGCAGTAAACAATTGATGGATATATTAGATAATAATAATAGATTATTATTTTATTGACCGATTAGTTTTTTGTGCACAAAATGATGTTTCTAAATTTATATTGTGTTTGCTCCAACTTTATTCAAGTTTAACAACAAAAATAGGATCTCTTAAACATATTGATTACAAACATAATGTGCAGATGATATGAGTTATACAGCCTTGTGGTCTGATGTTGTTAGATATCAGAAACTGAGCAAAGCTGCACCGGGTCAGTACTAGGATGGAAGATCTCAGAGGAAAACCATACCAGCTGTAAATGGTGTTGTTGGATGAGTATGTGTCCATTCTTTCCAGATAAATACCTCAGTACAGTTACTGGGGATACATTGCTATAGGAAGTGCATTGATGTTAAACCAAAGTCCAGGTTATTTTGTTATTATTATGTCCCGTGGTTGTCTTGTAAGAAAAACAATGTTAACTGGTGTAACCAGGAGCATTTTCTCACTTCCAAAGCTGAACTACTGTTAGTGCATAATGGATGTCATGTGTCAAATGTCTCATACTGTATGTGAGTGCTGCGCTTAAATGATGGATGAAGTGGTGACACTCATACAGTATATGGGATGCAAAGCACTTCTACAAGTGTGATATTCAAGCACATTAAGCATAAAAGGGGCTATTAAAAATGGGTAGGAGCTCTACATTCTCTGTGTAGAAACTTCAAAAAAAACTTTTGAATTAAATTATTCCTCCTTTACTCCCCTAATGTTTTCCACTACTATTGTTTTTTTTAAAAGCATCAGAATGAAACAACATAAGAAAATTTGCAAATGTAAGGCAGTTGCTTGATTGATCAGTCTAGCGTGTTTGATTTTGAGTAATCATAAGATATCATCCAGTTTGTTCATCCCTTGAAAGATTTGACAATACCAGCTTTGGCAACATGACTGTTTAACTTTTTCCCCTCCAAATCTCCATTTTAAATGTACACTACTTCCCTTTAATTTTCATTTGTGCCTCTACTTTGTGAAAGTACTTTTTCTGAAAATCTAAATATATCATATCACATGCTCTGTTTGTATACATTACCAATGGTGTATGTTCAAATAATTCTAACAAATTAGTTAAGCAAGGCTACGTTTCTATGTTTACTATTTCATTGATTTTTTTTTAGTCACAGAATATCCTCTAGTATAAGTATTGTTTCTATAATTGTACATTTATCAGACTTATATAATTAAGGCTTATTGGTGTATGATGACATACCTACAACCTTCTAAAAATAACAAAGAAACTTGCATGCAGGTTAACAACTAAAGAAAAATCTTCATATTAGCCTTTGGACATCTAAGGATTACATTTTTAATAAGTGAAATACAGTATGTTATTCTTTTTACATAAGTGTTATGTTTGGGCAATAGTTCTAAAAATTTGTTATATCCACATATCCCCATAGAGTAGCATAAAAACATGGTATAACTGAGTAAAGAACAAAAAATTATTACATTTTATTAGCGCAAGTTGAGTGCAATAAAAACATAATACTTATGGCACAATATTGGCTTCAAACAACATAGCTGGGCAGCTTCCATTTTCTTGTTCCAGGAGGTAAATCGTGCCTCCTGTTGTCGGTTTTGAATGCTCATCCATGTAGTTTCCAATCGTGCCCTTTGGTTTGTGTTTCTCTCTTCACTCTGAAGAAATTTGCTGTGTTGACTTTGTCAGTGCTGTTAAGGACTTTCAATACTTGTGTAAGGTCCCCTCATAATTGTTTTTTGTAACAATGCAAAAGGCTCCTTCGGAGGATTCTACGGTCTAATGAAAATCACTGAAAATTTTACATTTCCCCTTTTTAGACCCAAGTTTAGAGTTCATAGACTTCTTGTGGGTCTTTCCGTTCAGATATTAGTTTGAGAAAGGAAATTCAAATATAATTCATTACAGTTTTGATTCATTGCAAAGTATTACCGGGTTACAAACAACAAAGTAAAATCTTTTACAGTGTTTTGCTGATGCTGCTTTAAATGCAAGTGAACCCAATTATATAATACTCAGCTAAGGAGAACAAAATTGAAAAAGCACTGCTTACTTCCAAGTTTTGCTTCTCCGCACGTACACAATCCATCCATCCAGCATAACAAGGTACAGCGTAATAACTATGGGTAATATGAGTAATTTCAATCAACACATTCTCTGTTAAACACATTTCTGAACTATGATTTGGAAGAGATTCAAGAATTGGGTAGTTTCTCTGCACATTTTCAACATTTTAAATGAGACTAATTAATGTATTTCACACATTCATGTTGGATTAATCACAGTAAAAGAACTTTAAACAAAATGATGTTATTATAGCTTCCTGTTATTTAGGTCACAGTAATCTGGTCAACATTCTGTTCTGATGTGCCTCATATAATCCTACCAGCTCTAATCTATTTTGCTATTAGTTATTATTACAAATCACCTCTGAAAGTCTTTCCATAAAATTCATTAAAAAAATTAGGCATGTTGTCTCATAAAATCTAGAACATGTGTATGGCATTCAGGAGTTTTAATCATTATGCAAAAGGTCAGACGAGCACAAACAAAAAAGCACTTTTAATCTTAAGCATTAACAAAAGACATTTTTTAAATATTTCTGCAAATAAATCTGAACTTGGGATAATTAACATTACACTGTAAATAGGAAAGGAGGCAGCTACAGAATGTGAATCGTTTTTTATTGTGATAAAGCTTGCATAGCATAAAAACATAATACATCATTGATGTATGAAGTCCTACTTTTAATTGTACTGTATAAGCTGCACAAAGCCTCCTTTATGTTGATCTTTCATTGTTAAAAACATGTTTATTCTATAAGCTACAGTATGTAGTGTTAGAGCAAGACTGTCCTCTTTGAATCACTCTTTGAAGCAAGTTTGTAAAGTTTTTTTTTTCAGATGGCTATAGTATTGTTCAGACATACCTGCTTGATGTATTTGACTTTCAAGTGTTTAACGTTTTTTGGGTTCATCTTCCTGGTTGTTTAGTACTTGAGCTCTCTAATAATTGTTTGCATAAACCTACACGTACAAAACTGTACTGTTTCGTCATAAAGTT